GTTTACATACATTTAGAGTTTATTTGCGCTGTTGATGCTCACTTAAATTTTTGTCGGGTGACTCTTGACACTTTGTTTCTGAACGATTTTTTCTCTTTTAAGTTTACGAAGAAACTGTTTATAAAATCTGTCTGAGGGTGTGTATTTGCCGTTTTGCGGCAATTATTTGTTTTGACGAATCAACTTGTGCTGCTTTGTAGGAAATGTGTTCTGGTATCTAATTACTTATTTAAGTGAATGGGGGTTTGAACAATTGGAACATAGTATTATAGGGTGCTACTTAGGTGATAACAGATGGAGGATAATTTAGCCAGAGATTGCCTGGTAGAGAATTACACTAAGTTACTGAAAGATTAATTGGCGTAATTTTTGTTTGTAGTTTTGATGACTAATTAAATTAAAATAAATCGAAAAGTAATATGGCGGGGAATTGTTAGAGGCTGTCGTGCTACACTGGCGCCCATCAATCACTTGAAGAAGACTCTCTTCAGCATTCACGGCCATACATATGTAACAAAGTTGAAAATGAATGAAAAAGTGATTGCGAGAACCAAACGAGCCTTAGAAATGCAAACAAGCAAGCAAGGTTTCTCCTTCCAAACACCGATCTAAATAGAAAAACCTGCATTAGCGGAGCAATGCGCATATGACCAACGACCACACTGGATATAATTCTCTAGCCACTACATATCCACTTAGAGCAGCCAGCGCCAATTGTACTTTCCTAAACTTCACAGCCTGAAACTGAGAATTACCACAGGTATCCTTAGAGGACATTGCTTACTAATAGGTCATCTGTATAAGCAAGGACCCTGGTCAAATGATCTTTGTCGCTTTTGAGCGGAGAGTGTAGTCTCAATGTGACCAAACTTTCTAAACTTTCAGGGGATTGTACGACTTGACTAAGCATCGTGTAGTGTATATTTCTATAGAGGGAACAATAAATCCGTTAGGTCGCAGTGCATACCTCTTATTATAAGCTATTTATCTATCTGGGCAACTTTAGTTTATATGCAACATTTCAACCTATATATTTTTTTGATTAATTTTAATAGACGCGGTGGCTTTAACACAATGAAAGAATTACATTCGACCAATGCATAGAAATATCCCTGTCCGGTTGACAGGTTTTGAGGTCTTCCCATTGTCAAGGCTACCTCCCTATTTGTCAATTTTGCAAAACAACCAATTTCAAACATTTCCCATTAATATGGTGTGCTGGGCGCCTTTTAAATATTTCGTTATATCTTTGGCATTTACAGTCGGATCTTAACGTGTGATATATCGATGTTCCTATATTTGTTCCAAAGTTGATTGACCTCAAGTACGCCGTTCTAGTACTTACCTATCAGATTTCAGTTTTTATTATCCTAACATACCATCCTAATGTCAGTAAATTAAAGCTCTCCAAAATTATTAAACTCTTACTATAGATTCTTTCAGTAGAACTATTTAAAAGAAGTGTTAATTGCGGAAGGTAGGTGTTACCGAAAAATGTAAAAAGGCGACCCCTAGGTTCGATAATTTCTTTTTTTTTTCGAAATTGCCTTGCAAATATACTTTCGACTCAAGGGTGTACGGCGAAGTTTTTTTTTCGTTTGCTTGTGAGGTGGTACTGTCAACTGTATGTTTATACACACACACCTCCCAAATAAGTTCATTGCATAAACCCACAAAATTTAATTGGCGTTTATTAATTTGCATGCAAATTAAGATAAATGCAAAGACATTTTTGTTTATTTTAAATTTGCGAAATTACTTTTGGGTACTTACTTTGTACACAAATGCATTTGAGCGAAAAATCGTCTAACAAAAAAAAATTGTTTATGTACACAAAATCACCTTCGGCTGAATTCAAAGGAAACAATAAAGGCATAATCTTAATCAAAGTGCTGCTGACAGCCAGTGGCGCTACGTCAATGCAGCGGTAGGTATACATACATATTTACATACACTTAACCTCATACACATGTATTTATATATGTACATACTAGATATGTGATTACTTAATTTGAATAAATTGTCAAATGCAACAACAAAAACATCTACATACTCTTATGCATATGGGGCGTTCCATAAAAAAATGGACGGGGGGACGGGGTTCACACTTCATGTGTTTGATTTGTTTAAAATTTTTAGGGTTGATGGATAAATATATATAATAAATAAAAATTAAATTTGAGCTTGATTAATACATTTTTAAAAAATTTACAGCACAAAAAAAAAACGAATCAATTTAATAGTTTTCCAAATATCTGGAGAACGGGGCGAGGAAAAAATGTGAAAAAATCACACATATCTACACACATCAAAATTCTCTAAGAAAAGAGATATGTATTTAAATTTTTTTTTTCTTGAAAATTTTTCACATTAAAATTTTTTGATACTGCAAAAAATTCTAAAGAACATTAAAAAATTTTTAAATTTTTAATGTACTCATATACTATACTTAAATATTGCGCAATACACAGAGATACCATTGTCTTTTTTAAATTTTTTTTTTTGAGATGGCATATTTTCAAAAACAATTTTTCTTTCAAGAAAAATATTTTTAAAAATATTTATTTTCAAAGAGAATTTACGATGTGTGTATGTCTGATTTTTTTTTATTTTTTTTTTCTCGCCCCGTTCTTGAGATTGTTGGAAAACTATTAAATCAATTTGTTTTTGTTTTTATGCTGTAAAGTTTTTAAAAATGTATTAATCAAGCTCAAATTTCATATTTATTTATTATTTATGTTTATTCATCGACGCTAAAAATTTGAAAAAAAAAACCAAATACATGAAGTGTGAACCCCGTCCATTTTGGTATGGAACGCCCCATGTACATACATATGTATGTGCATTTTTACCACATTTGCATATTTTTCTGGGCACGGCTCTCTCGGTTGCTAGATATTTATGCTTTTATACTTATAAAAGTGTTAATGCAGTTAGCAAATTTAAGGCAATTGATAATTGATTATGTGCAGAATTAAGGTTAGATATATTTTTGAGATACCTATCCTGCGGCGAACAGTTTAAAAATAAATGCATATATGTATTCTCATAAAATGAGCTTCAAAATTAGTGTTAGAACGTCAAAAGAAGTTAGTTAGCAAATTATGTACATACTTACAAAGTTTTTGATATTTGAAAAAATTTGTATTTAAAAAGCTACTGATAATAAACATAATCAAGGCATATTGAATAGGTAGTATAATTAGATCAGCTGATTTGATTTTTTTTTTTTTAATTATTTGGTCTCTAAAGTGTCAAATATTGTTTACTAATTTTTCATGTGAAAGCGAAGCGATTGAAAACCATCTTTTGGAACGTTCGCTTATCTCAGGGGCATAAACGCTCTTTACTGTGCCTTGCAAAGAGTGGATTAATGCTCCTGTAAGCAAAAAAAAATTAGACAGAAAGTTACAAAAATGCTTATATATTCGAATTGAATTTTTTTATATTTCACATGGTACACTATTTTAAAAAAACACACATAAAATATATTTTTGGCACTTTAGAGACCATAAGCAACAACAAAATACACGTAAACCTCGCGCAAAAAGATAGCATATCCACATTTTTACTAGTTTTGCCTACTTTTATTTTGATTTTTTAAGGTTCATTATTTTTACATGAAAGTAACGCTCTTTATCTAACAAATACCATATAAATCTATATTTCAGACTTTGTACAAAAATTATAAAAATTCCACAAACTTTTTATCCCAATTCCAAGCAGTTTAATTTTAATTTGTAAAATAATTTTTGGTATGCAGTTTTATAGCTTATTAAATTCTAGTTTCTAAAAAATGTGTTGTGTACACTTTTCCATATAAAAAATTACTACAAAGCATTTCAAAACTAATTTCAATCAAAAAATTTTGGAATGCAGAGTAATTGTTTGTTTTAATGTAAAGCAGGGCCAGAATCAAGGCATCCGTGATCGAATAAAATTCGAATCGAGATTTTCTTTACAACTTTTGGTAGCGAGTTCGCTTTTTCAGTTCAAAATGTATTTGAACAGCTGTCATTTTGTTTCATTGTTTTTGTACTATATATTTATACGTTTCTTGTTGAATGTTTTATTATTTTATAAAGAAATACAATTTATTCTAAGGCGAATTCATATAATAAGGCGACAGCAGAAGTTCAAAAACAAAAATGCCACTAACAAAATTTACGCATAATGACATTAAGAATTACAACAAATACTTCAGGTTGACATTAAGAATCCTCGAGGCGAAAATTCATTCCTTGGTAAAACCATCTTACCTGAATTCGTTTTCAATTATCCTAAATAAGTAAAAACTATCTAATATGGTTTTTTTTTTTTTTAAATCTACCAACTTCTACCAATTTTTGTATGTTAATTCTACCAATATTAAATTTTTCGAAGTCCGTAATAAATAAATTCAGAGTGTGCAAGGCCTTCTTCTGGACACGGGTCCTTCGGGGTACAAGCCAAATGAATGGCGAATTTTTATAAACAAATCAAAAGATGAAATTATATTGCCCTCCTTGCTCATAAAGCTGGGCATTTATTAAAGACCCTAGACGATAATTGCCAATGTTTTTAATAAGAAAATTGTCTGCTCTAAGCACAGAAAATATAAAAGCGGAAAAAAGAATATCGTACTGCGTATAAGAACTTTCGAAGTCACCTTACTTTTGTGACCGAAATTCTTGGGCTTGTTTAAAAATAAATTTTAAAATTTTTTTTCTGAGTGTACATATCAACCATGTTTTTATTTAAGTTGTTAAATTTTAGGTTTATTTTGCTGTCATAAAGAGCTTGCCATTTGAAAAGTTCGTTAAGAAAAGGTGTTAAGTATAATTTTATAAAAAAAAAATCGGGTGCTTCTTCTTGTTTGCCGCTGAAACCACATAAGCGATTTTGGCAGAGTTGTCACTAGATAACTACTTTAATTGTTAATGTATGTTTGTAGGTATGTTATTATTTTATATACATACGTTGTGTGATTCCATGTTTAGATTAGCTGATATTTAACTTACCTTAAATTATTTAATAGCGGCAACACTTTTAAACCTGTAAAGGAAATTAGAAAAATTATTAATTTAGAAAAAATGCATCTATGCTGGATATAATATAAAAGGCTAAAGGTTTATAAGACAAATAATAGAACTAAACTTTAAATATTGTTTATAGCTCCATTGAAAAACTATATAACCTTTTTCTTTTCATGTAAACAGTTTTTTAAGTCGTAGCTCAATGCTCTGATTAGCCTTTACAACTTACATAGGTATGTGTATACACTCCGCGACAAAATGATACGGTCGGTCACCCAGTTCGGTCTCTTTATTTTTTTCCACATTAATTTTAATCATCTTTTTTTTTATAAAAGTATAGCTCATTATCTAACAAAAACCATATACATATTTAAATCCACATTTCAAACTTTGTACAAAATTTGAAAAAAAAACAAAAAAATCGTATAAAAGTTTCACACCTTTTATTCAGAATTTTGAGTATATTAAAGTGCCAATTGAAAGTATATACAAAATACCGTTGTAAGCGAAAACACAAACTAAGTTCATTTAGATTTTTTTTTGTAAGATTTCATCTGTTTCAGCACAAACCCTTGCAAACATGCCACATTACTTGCTAAACGATGGTCGTCGTTAAGCCAATTATATTTACATCAATCATTTTCTGAATTAGGCGAGTTATTGTAAGCAGCGTTAAAAATATGTTTTTATGGTGTTGCAAAATATGCATAAAAAACATTCTTAGTAAGCATCATTTTCAACCAAAATAATTGTACTTATATAACATATCCTTCTTGTCACATTAAAATGTCCTTAACTATAATTAAAAAAAAGTGTATGAGACGGACTTTTAAGACGGATAATTTAAGTTTATTCCTAGATTCATTGATTTTATTAAGCAAATCTGAGATAGGGCCTTTTCGAACCGGCTGCCGAGATATGTAGGTCGATCTACTACTCAGCCGTAGAAATGATTTTCTTTGAAGATTGGTAAAGACGTCGATACAGAATTCCGAACAAATTTGCGATACTCTTAAATATTACTTTAAAATATCGGGAACTTTGGTTTGCGGAGATCGATGAAAGAGTTTTCGAATAACATTACTACTCAGACGTTAAGGCATATTCCTTGTGAGCAAACATTTTCCTACCGGGGTACTAAGATTATTTATATGTAAAAAATGATAAACCATATTCTTATACGTAGTTTTTTCACGCCATGTATGTAAATGCCGACAAGCATTGTGACGGATTGTTTCAATGAATGGGATTAATATGACGCGCGTGAATTGACCAAAAAACACCCCCACAAACATAAGTTTTTTTAATGATCCGCGCAATTACCAGTTGTACTGGGTGATTTCGAAGGCGACAATCCTACATACATACACAAGGGGAAGGCAGTAGTAATATTGCCGAAATATAAGCCAAGTGGCACAGTTTAATAAAAGCAGGAGGAGGGAGAGCAATGCAGTTCATGAACTTTGATCATAGCGCGCACTTGGGAGACGTTGCTTTGATTGAGCAACGCTCAACGTTCATTTGTTCATATGAAACAGACTTTATGTTGGAATGTCACCGCGCATGCGCGTCGTTGGATGCACTAAATTTTCATTGTTTTTAATTAAAATAAATTGAGATGCGCCTGACCAATGGCTTCAGTTGAACACAAACAAAAAAACAAATTGCACTGGAATTGTAAAAGTTTACTGCTCTTGTCAGACCTTAGACAAATGAAACGAAATGAAATCAAAGCGAAAATAAAATAATAAAGGAACACGCTTAAATATGGGTTTAACAAAAACGATAAGTAGACTTAAGTAACAAATGATAAAATTGAAAAATATGAGCTGGAGATAAAAGTTTCTAAAAAAAAAAAATACTATTTGAGCTCCGGCATATCCGTTGAAAAACTGAAAAAAAAAACGTTTAACCAAAGCGTTTGTCACAAATTCGAACAAATGTGCGTCAATAACTCATCGATTCACTAACCATACAAACGTACATATGTACATACATATTTACGAAGTGCAATGCTTAGCATTGAACACAGATAAATGTCAGACCGAGTGCTTTGTTTTTACTTTAATGATGTTAAAAGCCGACAAATAGCATTTATGGCTTAAAATTTTTCCTTTAAACAAATGATCTGGAATTGTACATACATATGTATTCATAATTGTATTCAAATATTCCGGCAGAGCAAGGGTCATTGAACTTATTAGAAATATAACATTAACAAAAAAAAAAACGAAAACACTCTAAGTAACTCAGTAAAGTGTAAGTCATGCAGATTTGCAAAAAACTCAGGCGAGTTGTCTGGAGGAGGCGTCACGATAGGCTGAGCATGCTTTAAGGTACCATCAACTTATTACTTTAATAAGCCCTTTCATACTTGAGAAGTGCATATGCAAAATTTCATAAAGCACATACGAATGTATCTGTGCTAACCTTTTTCTGCCGTTTGATCTAGGATGTAGTAGGTATGCATTTAGGCGCTGTAGTATGTTAGTAGTCCCCTAAAAAAAATTTCCTACACTGAGGGAAATAATGCATAGTAAAAATGAATACTATATATTTGATTATCGTTTAAAAATATTACATACCCAGCCAGAAAAAAAATCCGTGCGGTGACAATACAGACATACATTTTTTTATTTATTTTTTTGCGGGCAGGCGGTCGAAAATGCCTATTGCATCATCAAAGCTGTCGTCACAACAATGGTATATCCGGAGACTAAAACACTCCCCCCGAATTGGAGCCGTCGCCTACCCTGGGACCACTAATCGCATTGCTTCAGGATGGCGTTCCATATTTCTCATTAACATTCTTGACTCTATTTAAATATGTTCTTCCAGTTAGTTTCGCTATGTAGCATGGCTTGGATGACGTTTTCTGGGTTAAACGGTCCATGTATTGCGGATTATTGCGCTTGGTTTCCCACCTTTGCATCTGAAAAAAGTGTACTCGGCATCGTCCTTTTCTGCGTCGCTGTATATGCAAGACGGCTCTTCGGCTTTTCCCATTCTATACAGGTATTTGCGAAAGTAACTATGCCCAGACAGCATTTGCGTGACGTAATTTTATTTCGCCATGTTCTTTTTGAGTCCACAGTTTTAGGTCTTTTATTAGCCTAGCCGTCCACCTGCCGCGGCTTTCGTTTTGCCACCTATGTTGCCATAGTCTTAGTGTTTCGTTTCTTACTCTTTCCGTTTGAACAGGTAGGAATTTACTAGTCTGTAGTTATAACCAAGCTACACTTAAGGCATAGTCCTGCCCTCTAACTATGTACTTCCAAACTAGTTCAACAATGTAAGTCTCGGCTAAATTATGTTGGATAACATAACGAATTTGTTTTATTTTTACTTGAAAGTACCTGGAAATGAGGTATTTGGCATTTCAGCCCGATACTGCTTAGACTAGGTATTCCTCGGTTCGCAACCACTTATAGAACTCCCATATACGGCCATCGAAACCACCACAATAAACTGGGTGAATGGCTGGTAAAACTAATTTTGCCGTCAATCTTCGGAAGTATAGCGGAGTATTTGCATTAATTTTTCGTGACTCCAACATCTGAATGAATTCGGCCCAATATATGCGGGACATTTAATGTCAACCGTTCGGGGATAAATTGGAGTACTTTGGGGCGATATCCGAACCCACTATGGAGTAAGAGGCAGGGGCGGCAATCGTGTGCATACAGCTCGGTCTCGGCGATTTTATCGCACAGAACTTAATCAAAAATTGTGCAGGACCACAGTGGATTTGCTACATACGGGTATAGATGTGCATCATTACTGGATTCCGGAGCACACCGACGTCACGGGCAACGAGAGGGCCAACAGGCTTGCCAAAGAAGGCGCTCTGTCGGAAGCTGTGCTGATAGAGGAACTGCCAATTTCGCTTCAAGCGATTAAACGAGAGCTCGACCTCGACCATGATCCGGAAGCCGCAGAAAACGACAAGACTACAAAGTGTTCTGGATTATAAGCACAGCGTATGACATAAAGCTCACGTATTTTCTGTTATCTCTCAACAGGGAGGAGGCTAGAAAGTGGTTGGTGGACATTGCATGCTGGCATTGTAGGCGTTTAAACTATCTTAGACCAACGATGCGATCTGCAGTAGAGGCAGAACAAAAGAGGAGACTGTGGACATAAACGGTTTCTGCGAACCCACGCAGTGAGTAGCCAGCTTAACTACCTTCTTTCGTGTTTCATATTAAAAAAAAAGGATTCGTTTTAGTAAATAATTATACCTTTCAATGTTTTACATGCAATTAAATGTATATAATAAATTAAAAAATTAAGTTAAGCTTGCGGCTACTTTTGCACTCATTGCCATTCAACAAATATTGATAATTTTCTATACTTACTATGTGGCAACATTTAAAGACGAATTAAATGAATTTGCATACGGGCTTTCCATCAACAAAACCCAACCCACATCTACTTAACTCCGGATAGTTTATCAATTTTTTAATTGTTTAATAATACATTGTCCAAGCGATAAATATTAAGATATTCACTTAGATGGTAAATATAGTATTGCATAAATTGACAATTGTATCGAGAAAAATGAATGAAATAAATTAAAATGCCATAATAATTGTACATAACTACAGCTTTTCGTTTAGCAATTGCAATGAAAGACCACTTGACTTCTATGAAGCCGGTGAATATGCATTCACCTGGAGCATTATTGAGCAAACTGTCTCAAACTGACAAGCTTTTTGAGGGAACGAGGGTTGCCTTGCTATTTGTGCATTCACAAAGTGACAGCTAATGCGATATACGAAATGACGTTTTAAATAAACAATATAATAAATGATGAATTATTAAGTGTTGCATGCAGTTGGTTGTTAAAAAATTAGTTATGCTACATACTTGTGATTTCACTATTTCAGAGTTTGTTAAAATCCGACTTGAGTAATATGAATGGATTTTTTTTTGGAATACTAAAACGTTCAGTAGAGAGAACTTCTGAAGCGTCACGGCGCCGGAAGTTTCCTACGAAACCAAACCAAGGGCAGTAAG